AAGAACACATTATACCTATTATCAGCAAGTTCTTTGGTAATTACTCCACTCCACCATCTATGTGAAATGTCGGTGTTAGTCGCTTCTACAATCGTTCGTACAAAAACAAATATTTTAAGTGGTTGATTTTTAACACTTATGTAATCACTTTTGCATCATAATATATGAATATATAACAAAAGGGATGTTTTTAACCAACCTGGTGATGATATCTTCAAAAGGTGCAAATTCCTAACATACCAAATGCAGAAATGCTGCTGGCTAAGACAAAAAGAACCACCARACARAAGATAATATAGTTGTTTAGTTCAATTCAAGACGGCCTCTGCAAATCACCAGGACTCAAAATAGTCCAATCATTGTCGAGATCATAGACGGACCTAGAGGGGTGGTTAGGTGGCACGTGCCACCGTATTGTTCCTCCATGGTAAAGTAAAAAGAAATTAGGTTCGTGAAAGGTGCAATCGTTTTATTCTAGAAGATGCAACCGTTTTATATGGTGCTACCGTATCCAAAAATTCTTGGGTTCATACTCGAGATATAAAGAAATAATAAAAGATGTAGGATCAATCCACCATGTTGACCATGTTAGTATAATTGTATTCTAATCCTTTAGTTAAAGTGTATTAGTTTAACTAAAATTATGTCGGAATAATCCACCAACAGCTTCTGCAGAAGCAAGTCGTTATCAAGAAAACAACATATTTTGGCAACAAGAAAAGCACCAGTAACTGAATAAAATTGGCAAAAAGCCACTATTGTATAAAAAATCTGGTGCAAAAGTAGTTGGAGAGAATATATCAAATAAGTCGATCTTTTTAGCGCACTCTAATTCAAGTAATCCTAGAAAATAGTTGGAGAGAATATAAGACAAAAGAGTTATGCACACCTCATTTTTAGCCCCCACTTCATCTTCATATCCTGTTTTTAGCAAAATGTCATGCACTGCAGTGAGATCCATCTATGCCAAAAGGAGAAAGTAAGGTTAGAACTTGGAACAACACATGCCCTTGATTATCTACTTACTTTTCAGTTTGTGTTTTTAACCACTGTGTTGCACCTTATACATATAACACAAAAAAGCAACTTAAATAAAAGATGGCAAGTGATTATATGTAGAAAAAGTTAACAGTTGAGATTCTTGTGAGCTATGTACTGCTGTAGATGCATCTTGGCCAAGCTGCAAACCCATGACTGGTTGATTGGCCATAGAACGTGCAACTAAACATTGATTTTCATGTTTCCAAGACCTTTCATAACAGTTTCTCATTTGATTCTCGATCCAAACAGATTTATACATGTTGTTGCTTTAATACCATGTAATCCAAAAGACTACAACTTTATAGGTAAAGTTGAATGCAGGACTGAAGCATTAAAGTTACAGTTGGCTTAGCAAATCATTCCCACTATGGCCACCAAAAATTGAAAAAATAATTTGAAGGGGAAAAATAGTGTTAAACGATATATTCTTAATAAATGATCCAAACTGCTATAAATAAATAAAAAAAACATTACCTCTGCTATGCCAAAACACATGGTCCTTTCATCCAGCAAATCAATATTTCCAAGACCAAGAGAATTAAGGAGTATGATGGTTGTATTGGGCAACACAGGAAGTACATTAAGATCATCAGTAATGAAGAAACCCTCATCGAACAATTATATCCATGTTTATTTACAAGTCTGCGAATTCCTCCTCCTTGCACCTAAAAGCATAATCCTAAAATATGTAGCATGCAACCAGTTCATTTATCGTTCTCACTATCAAAGCTACAAACTTTCAAAAGTCCTCCAACTTACAAAAAAATTGAACATGAACTACCACATTCGAATCCTCTGTTTTAAGGCTGAAGAAAGCATGAAGGAAAATTATTTCCAAATCTCAAAATTCATGGAATACATAAAGGAGTAAAACAAGAGAATAAGTTATGCAAATTTATACCATAGTTAAACAAACAATGTTTCTTCAACCCTRAGAACCGGATGTCCTGCTTTTAAGGAACTRTACTTCTGAAACACATGATCATCAAGTGGAGTTTTATCTTCCAGGTCATTGGAGAGATATGAGGATGATGTTATAATGTCTTTATCGTTATAATGHAAATCAAGYTGTGTGTATTGCAAAGTTAAAACTTGGGYTGRTGTAAACTTAGCAGAAACGRTTTAAAGAAATATTAGTGGCTGGAAGAACTATWAATYGATTTTMTGGGACTTCTCATTCAACTTACCACAACCTCAGTCAAATAATTCATTATCATGCTCTAACTTCTAACACAAACTTTAAATCGTGAACTTCTAACACAAACTTCTCAATGGAATCAAAAATCATTGTACAATAGTTAAACAATTTCCCCTTTTGATAAACAAAACCAATCAGTCGTTCTCCAATCACCAGAAATCAAATCAATAAGCCACCGAGCAGTCATCTGTAAAATTCACAATGGAAGAAAAAAATGACATTATCAACGAACTTGAAAGTAGCATTTAAATCAAAATATTTTTTCATGAAAGCTCATCCACACATCAACCATTCACTAACAAATCTGAAGGTATAAGCAGAAGCCAGCAAAGGGAAGAGTCTACTTTGCTGAGTTTTATAATCAATCACCTAAACCAAAAACAAAATCTTCAAACATTTAAAAACGTGAATCAACTCAGCTAGATATTGTTGTGACTCCGTACAAAAAAATGACAAAAACAAAATCACATTTTTGAATAACCTGGGTCTCGGGTCCACCATTACGTGAGCCAAACTGTCTACGAACTGCACTATATCTTATAGCAATACAAACTGCACGAGATAATACTTTGAAACCATTAGCCACAATTTTTTTTGCCTAACATACACCATAAAACAGACGCCATAGAAAAAAACCCTAGAAATTGAACAATATGGTAAAGGAAACAAACCTTGGAAAATTGGATGCTTGTATTCTGGAAAACAAAAACAAGATACTTTGAAAACCTGCTTCAAATTTATACGAGTAGAGGATGTGAAGTATCTCCATCTAAATCGGTTGAGTAGTTGAAATTGGTAGGACGATATGCACGAAGCACTTGAAATCGATAGAACGATATGCACGAATTAGGGAGGGCGATGAAATCATTTAGGGTTTATGAAATCGAACTGGGTTAGGGATGAAATCGTATCTGTATTCTTCAAAATCTGTTGGCGATGAAATCGTTAGGGAGGGAATTGGGTTTAGGGATAGGATCGATTTAGGGATAAGATCGATGAAATCGTTGATAGGATATTTGAACGGGTTTTAGGGATCGCTTTAATAAGTTGTAGTATTAGCAATAGGGGTTGTTTTTAAGAGTTTTTAAGAGTTTTAGCCAAATGCTTTATAAGATAGTATAGATAGATTATGTGTTTAAAAAAAACAATAATGATTTTATTTTTGAATAAAATATAAATTTGAAGATATCATAAAAAATTTAAAAAATATATATCAATGTTAATGTCAAATCAACTA